TTTACCCTTGAAAATGTTGTTTTCCACAGCTCCTCCTGCTAAAGCCATGCTAAGGTGGACATCAGCTAGGATGGAAGCACAAAGCCAAGCTGTGCACTGCTAGTGGTGGCAAGGCTACTCCAGCATCACACCCCTAAGCCACCGTGAGGCTCAGCATGATTTCCTCACATTTCCCTTTCTTGTTCAGGTAATTATGTTTCCCAAGAATTGGAAAATACACTCTGGCAGCCAAGGTGTATTTCCAGTGTCGTGAACAGGCTGGGCTTGAACACAGACATCACAGTTTTTGCCTCTAGGCAGGGCAGCCACAAATGAAATTGAAACATTAGAACCCTTAAATGCAAAGTGTGTGTCTGTGGCAACAAATTACTGTATGCCAGCTGCTGTACCAATTAGCAACACAGGTCCTTTGTGCCTTTCCTCAGATCTGAAAGATAAGAAATACCAGTTCCTGGGAGTAGAATGTAGAAGAGCATCATCCAGCATCACTAAAGAGGATCAGCTGCTTAATCAACTGCTTCCTTCCAGCAGTGGTCAAGAAGAATCTGCTTCTCAAAATACTCTTTTGTCTCTCTTTTGGAAAGGATTTTCTGCTCATTTCTTTGACTGACTGCAGCCAGACCAAGCCTCAAATGAGCAAAACATCCCTAGGAACTAAAAAGTTTATTGTGAAACAGAGCTGGGAATATTACACCAAAACACAGTGTTTGGATGCTGCTTAATCAATGTTTCATCTCAGAAATACCAACATGTTCTGTCTGACAACAAAGCAAATAATTTCTCTGCAAGAACACTATTTATCTAAATAAAATCTAAAGCAGAAAAAGGTTAAAAGGATTAAATAATCCCAAAATGAAAAATCTCTTTTTGGTTTAAATAAAGCATTTGAGTTTCGATAAAGAATCCTTTAAAATACCGTTCTTGGCTCAGCATCAGATGAACATTTTTCCATTCTTCTGCTTCAATTGCCATTCTGACAAAACTAATATTCACCTCTTGCTTGCACAGCACAAATTCAAAGGAGGAGGACCCCTATCTTCCCAGACAATACTGCATGCTTTCCTAAGGATTTCTTTTGAAGTCAAGATGTCTTGAGCAAAAAAACCTATAAATAGATAGTGAGGAAGGTGACTTGGGACAGCTGCGAGTTGTATAAAGGGCAATTTCCCTACTCAAATAGAGCAGCAGAATTGGATTCAACTTATAGCCACTTATCCAGATGTCTGTAATTTTTTTGTCTGTAAAATTACCTTCCCTCAATAAGTAGGAAAGATCCTGTAGGTCAAGGCTCAGAGGTATTCATAGAAAGCAGAAGGAAAATTTTACTGCCACTTTAGTAGCTGTAGCTTTGCTACTGAGTTATTTGTGATAAGTCTATCTGAACATCCAGGTATGATGGAAAATGACAGATTGTAAATAAATCCTCTCACTTATTACCAACAGCAAAAGCAGCTTTATTTTATATATGTAAAGAGTTTCCACTTAGACATCATACCCACACTGTAATTTCAAATAAACAACATTTAAAACTGCAGCTAACAAGACTCAGAGTTAAAAGCCTGATGATTAATCCATCACTTCACCTGTCTTCCCAAATTATACATGTTTAGCCAAATAAAGCATTACCATTCTGCATTTTACATAAAGCAGCACAAGGTAAGATAATCTACTGTGACAAATATTTCCAGAGGGGGGGAAAAAACAACTTGCAAACTGTTGAGAAAACTGACGTAATGCACAAGAAGCTCTCAGAGATTTCATAAGCAAAAGGCTGAGCTTTCTAAACACCTCACACCTATTTCTGAATGCACTTGTGCTGAATTACACCACTGTGGGTTTGTTGCTGTTGTTCCTGGCGAGGGAGAGGAGGAAGAACCACCGGGACGGTTCCTGCGCCTTTCCCCGCTGCCAACACTCTCACATCACCCTGGAAAAAGACACAGCTGGAGATGGGAGAGGGAAGAGCTAAGGAGCAGGAGAGCTGCAGACCAGGCTCCATCCAGCAGCACGCTGGGGATGGCAGAGGCTGCCCGGCAGCTCCTCACAAAAGCAGCCTGAGACTGTGCAGAGACTGACTCAGAGCAGACCAGGAGAGAGAGCATTAAAAAAGCAATGCCAGCTTGAGAAACACAACCAGAATAGCACAGAGTGCTGTGACACATAGGCAGGGAAACAGGCTCATTACCTCATGCATATGTTTGGAAACTGTTTTCAAGAGAGCTTTTCTGGTGGTAGGTACAGTTTGTTCCTCGTACTCATTTAGCTAGGTAACATTTTCACTCATTAGGGAGAAACACAGACCAGTTGGAGCAAGGCTGTGACATATCCTGTGATATCCTGGCTCATGTTTTGGCTTGAGCTGGGAGGCTGAAACTGTCCCCAAACCTGTGAGCTCTTCATGGGGTGTCAGATGAGATGGGGTCAGACTGCCCACTGAGGAGGACCTGAAACAGCAGGAAAATCAAGATCTATTTTTAACACACTTATACAGCACTTGTGTCTCGCTCTTGTGTACCAATATAAAATCTTTAAACCTGGGAGGGATGGTGTACAAGCATGTAACTGAAAGGCATCAAGGGAAAGATGGTGCTTGTTGAGAAAAGGCTTCTCCTTGGGCTGTAAAACATTCCTTGGCCCTGCTTATGCTTCTTGCTTACTGCCATGGTGTAACACCTCAGGAGAGCCCAGGTTTTCACTGACTTTTCCTCCAGTGGTGCCACCTATGAACGCCCTGTTTGCAAGCACTGCCAGCAGCACACTATGGTTGTGTTAGTTTTAGGAAATGGGTGAAGTGTGCCATATCCTGGTTACTCCTCAGCACAGTCCTTCTCCTCAGATGGGGCTATTGCCACCTTGGTGGGCTCCTTAACCAAGCACTGCAACCTCAGAGGCAAAAAAGCCTGGTGACATTTCAGCTTAAGAATGGCCAAGGCACCAGTAATCCAGTTCTCCAGTTTATTCTGGCATCAGTATTTCGGGTCTGTTACAAGGCTTAGTGACTTCAGAGTCCCAGTTTTGGTGCCAACAACATGCAGAGTTTACGCTGCAGAATGAGCCGGAGGTGCTGTCATTGTGTTTTACTGCTCCTGACGGAAATCTTTTTCCATTCAATTATTCAAGCACCTTTCAAGCACCAGATAAGATTTCAGCATCCTGCAGCAAGTCCCACCACTCAGAGAGGTGCTGACTTTCTCCTCAGCCTTTATGAACCTGCCAGTTGTCCCTTTTCATGCATTTCTCCCCTCTGTGCCCCACCCTGAGGAATCCCTGGCTCGCTGTCAGATTTCTGTGGGCTGTCACCTGGAGTGTCCCGTGGCCCCAGAGCCACGTTTCACTGCAGAGTGGCAGTGGCTTCCCAACCAGACCCTTTCAGAAACTTCAGCCTTTCTCAGGCGTGTTTGTTTTGGCTGTTCCAAAGTTTCCTCTCCCTTTAATAGATGGCAAATGCATTATCCAGCACAAACAGGGAGCCCATATGATGGGGTGGAGGGACAAAACAGATGGCACATGAGTCACTCCCATTCGCAAAGTCGGCGATGAAAACATGCTCCTGCTTTAGCATCCTGCTGGAGGCAGCAGCTCAGGAGCTGTGCTTGGCACTGAGTCCCCACAGCCAGGTGAGAGGGGGATTGCTGCTGAAGTCCTTTCTTTGTGCATCCAAAGCGATCCAGGAAAGGGCCTGGGGACTGTGGAAAGCCCCTGGTAAAAATACTGCTTAAAAACAGCCACCTGCCCTGTGTGATGTGGGGGCACAAAACCATCCCCAGGGCTGCAAGATCTCTGCACTTCTTCAGGGTATTAAACTTCCTTGTTGTACCTTTTCCACCTGCTTTGCTATTTGCTTTAATTCCCTGTGCCTAGCAGCACTAGGAATGCTCCCTGTTTTCTTTTCCCTTCCCCTCCCCACCCCCCCAAAATCCTTCTATGGGTAATGGATTTTGTATGCTAACTCACATCACTGAAATACCATGAATTACACAAGTAGGAGTAAAAGGCATTGGTTCTGCTCTTGCCAGGAAAGATCCTCAACCTATTGGAAATAATGATTATTTGCACTGTATAAATTGGATTTCTGCCATGAACAATATTAGAAGGAAAAGGCAGTGAGCAGTATTACTCTGCTGCTGTGTATTCATTGTGTTAAAACAAAAATAGACATAATATCAGATAGCTACCACCTGGAAACTGCATTATATATTTGGGTGAGAATACAATCCCAGTCTGCAAACACATTTGCACATGATTACTTTTACATATTGCAAGAAATTTCCTTGAAATTCAATGTGTGTAACATTAGTAGTTTTTATTCAAATTTGCAGAAGACAACTTAGAGGAAGAGGCCAAAAATAGTTCTTTCTATCAAGAAGGTTTAATTAATTTTCTCTCATAATTCAGGGAAGAAGGATTGTTGGAATCAAAGACATATAATCAGTGAACATATTATTAGTTAGTTCTAACTTAACTGTCCACATGTAGAATTCTTTAGACATCAAAAGCCACTTCATTGCATATCTAGAAGGGATTCTTTTTTCTTAAAAACAAGGCAGACTTATTCTCAGAACTATCTGAAAATTAAAATTTGTATTTCAAAGAAAAATTGCTAATATTATAAATCAGGATCTTTCACAAAAAAAAGAAACCCAACACCTTCAAATGTGAAACCTGACAAATTCAAAATACATACACAGAGAGATCTTCTCCTTTTTTGCTGTTTCCTTTTCACACTGACACTGTAAAATCGATAACATCAAAATTGTTCTGTTTTTGCTTTTCATTTTCCTTTTTATTGCCTTCAATAATTTTGAAATTTCCTCATCTTTGAAAAAGAAAAATGGAAGAGTCCCTTGTTTGTGTCACACTTCAAGCACTAGAAAGACTTTTCAAAGTTCCAACAGCAACCAGCAGCAGAAACATTTGAAAATGAAAAAAAAATAAATTGTTTGTGTGGGTAGAGTTGCCTGTTCAGCTTTCATTTTACTGTCCCCAGTTTCAAAGAAATATTTGACACTGTTAAAATTTCAAAGCAATCAGACTTTGGTGTTTCAAAGGTTTACAAGAATTTCCTTTGAAAAACTGTGTAGTGTCAGACAGAACAATGTTCAGAAGAAAACCCTGATGGTGGCAGAAGCTGGTTATTTGTGTTGGAGTCCCAATACCAAAGAGCATCAGAAGAAACAACCCTTCCCAAATACTCAGAGCAGCAACGCTCTAATAAAAGAAAATAACTTATACAAACCCCATAATTTGTCTCTTACGGCGTCTCCTCCTAATTGAGGAGATCTGGTAAGGAGAAAGATTTGTGAGTGGCCACTGATTCTGCATGAACTCCTCTTTAGACATCTAACATGTGGAACTTAACAGGGATCTGATTTTCACACATCATGCAAAATCAGACCCTTCAAATGTGTTTCAAGTTCAAGGCCTTGAACACAGCACATTTCTTGGCCCATACAACACAGCACAAGCAAATTGCACCATGATAGAGACACATCTGCACACTACTCCACAGAGCAGTACACAGAATAAAAAATATACAAGGATTCATAAACTGAGAGAAGAAATTGTGCAAGTGGAATGTCACAGACACAAAAAAAAAAGGGCATCCTCTGTTTAATTGTTAATGATGCAATCTGATTTTGCACCAGTAAAAGGGTCTGCAGGAGTCACACACTGCCACTGCACAAGGACTGCACAATTCAGAGAACCCAGGTGAAACTGAATGTACTTTCTCATCCTCCACATACTTTGTACACAGCCAAGAGATGGCCTGAGCCTCACAAGCTACGCTGAATAATCTGGAATTTTAGAGTGGAAAATGTAAAAGAAAATCGTCCTTTGTGTATGTGCACAGGTGAAAGTGCATCCCTCAGCCAGCCTGTAGCTCAAAGCCTGCCAGACAGAGAGGTTACCAAAATCAGAAAATATCCCAGATTTAAGAAGACCCAACTCATCTCAGAATAGCACTATAATTTTTGAATCTAAGCAAAGCTTTTTTACAAAATGGAAATTGGACAAAAGTGTAACTCAGAAGCTTACACATAAGCAAATACCAGCATAGATATACCCTAAACCCACCATGTCTTCCTGAAAGTAGAAAATAACACTCCAAGAGACACAAATAACCTTAATATATCCTCTTCAATATCTGTAACTAAGGCACTGACACCATATCAGTACTTTCAGAATTAATGAGATGTCAATGCCTTTGTTGCATATATTGATCTGTTCACCAGACCACAAAAAAAAAGACATGTGACCACATGGTGAACATCTGCACAGGCTTTTTGGATGACTTTTCCACCTTGACTTTGGCACGGGGAAAACTTGATATTCATACCATCATTAACATTTCCTCCATCTGATCTATGTATTAAGGAATCACAAGTTGCCACGTTATTATTTTTTTTACCTTGCGGATTGTTTTTTGGACAATAAATCTTACTTTCCTTTTCATGTTGTTACAGATGAAGAGCACTTTCTAAGCAAAAATTGAGCAGATTTTTTAAATGAATTTGAAGCAATTAAGTGCCTTTACATGTAATCTCTGGGTCCTGAAACTTGAGCACCTCAATCTGAAAGTGAAGAAATGCAGTCCCAAACTGCATGTCCAGGAGAGTGGAGACTCCCTGTTAAAAGTTCAAATAAATTTCAGATGCAAAAAATTACGACTCCTATTCAGACAGCATCTCTTGCCAGTGGGTTAATGCAGCTCTCAGTCTTCATCTCCAGTGCTTGGCTTGGTTTCTCAACTCCCTTTCACTGTTTGATCAAAACCCACGTGGAAGATTTTATCTCAGTCAGATGTCTGTTGTCATCAGGATTTACTCAGCTCTCTTTGGCCATAAAGCAGGGAACAGATCGAAGGATCACCGAATTCAGGAAAAGCCTCTCACTGACCCAAACCACTTGGCAAAAGTGATTTCCTTCAGTCCAGGGCATGCATCCCACAAATGGCTATAAACTAACAAAAATGTACAGCCTGCAGGAATACAAAGAAATACAACAGTGAACTCAAGCTGTTGAATGAGCAGCATGGCCAGCCCCTCCCCAGGATGGTTTCTTGATTAGGCAACACCAATGCAGAAGAGCTCCACATGGATAATTTATGGTTCACATAAATATCACATTATTATAACATTTTCCTGTTCACTCAGAGATAATAAGAGACATACTCCAAATCAATATTTATTATTTTAGCTTTCCTTCCTCCCTGATGTTAAGGTTGACATCCTTCCTCCCCCATTTATAGCCTGCCATTGCTTACTGAACCCCTCCACAACCCCTGAGATAAGGATGTGGAGGAGATTCATAGATCATGATAGCAATAAACTGATCCTTCCAGACACATTTAACCACAATGCAATACTGTCAAGCTCCGAAGACAAGCTGTTCCCTGAGGAGCAGAACTACTGAACCTTGATTTCCTGCAGTTCAATGTCCCAGAGCTTTCCTTTTTAACCCTAAACAACACCTCTCTCCTTGCAGCATCCTCAGATCCCCACACATCCCCTCAGTCCTGTACATGTCCCTGTAATATTTTACCTTGCAGTTATCTCCAGTTGCCTTCACATCTCCCAGGCTTTCTGGTGACTCCACTCATTTCTCCCTCATGCCCTTGCTGCTATTTTCTGTCTTGACACTTGGGCAGGAGGCACTGGGATTGGGGTGGAGAAACAGAGTGGAGATTTGGTCTGCCACCTGGCCAGCCGTGGGGCTGCCAAACCCAGCACAGAGCACTAATTTGTTCAGACAAGAGTTGAAGAAAACCTCTGTCCATCACCCACCTGCCAGGTGGGATTGATAAATTCAGATGGCTGGAAAAACTCCCCCTTCTCAGGTTTGGACCCAAGAGGTCACAAGTTCCCAGAGAGCCATCAGGCAGGTGACAGAAAATCTTCACTTTCTTCTCCCAGTACCACAAAACTTGCTGACCCACCCCACACTCTGCTTTTCAGTCAGTGGTCAACTGACACAGCTGCACATGATCTTCACCAGACTGACCAAAGTCTTCTTGAGGCAGTTTTACATGGCACCAATCACCTTTTTTTTTTTTTTTTAATTTCTAGTGCTAAATTTAACAGAAATATATTTGTTTGTTATTTTTGTCAATGTTGCCAGCCCAAATCCATGAGAATGTCAAACTTGGTTATGCTGCTGATGTTTTGCTCTCTCTGAGGTGGATCATTTCTTTCACTGTTGTGTTATTTACACAATTTCCTTGTTCAGAAAGAAGGGGAAAAATCACTTAATATTACTTGGTGTAAAGCCTCAAAACGCACAGCGAAGACAAACAAGCAGTATGCACATTTACTTGTGCAGCTCTTATAAACAAAGTTTAGCTGCCTGAATCCTGGTGATTTATACATTTTGGGCAAACATTGAGCTAATATGTGATTCATGTCCCCAGGCACACTCCAAAGCCGCACTGTGTTCCCTCCACTGTGTTTTAGACGTGTGCAACAGAATGTTATTGTTTGATCCAAAACATGTGTTATGACTTGTTTCCTTCTCCTTTGGTGTTTTAGCAGAGGTTTTTGGCAACCCTGATTCCTTTACCAAGATTATCAGAATAAAAGGGTCAGATTATACTTTCATTTACTTGGAGGAAACTGAGAGGGTGGGAAAAATACATTTTATGTCCTTCTGTGAGCCAGTAGCTGTCCCTGTGGGCACTCTCTGGCCCTGTCTTTTCTTCCATGACTCAAGTTTCACCTTCAAGTCTTGGCTTTCACCAGGAAGAAGTGAGAACATATCCTGAAAGACACTTTGACACCAATTGATCATTTTGCTCACCTAAGACTATCATTTATATGCTAACAGAACTTTCAAGGCTGCCATTCAGCTGCCAGCGAGTCCCCAGACGGGTTCTGAAGTTTTCTCAGGTCACCTCAGACTCAGCAGTGACTCAAGACTGACAGATCAGCCAGGGCTCCTGCTGCAGCTGGGCTTCTGGGAGGTGAAATGCAGGTTCAGTGCCAGCTCCAGTGCAGCAACCAAGCTTGGAGAGTGACAAACAGCATCTCTCTGCCACTGCGGCATGAGGGACTCCCTGAAAGGGGCAGCCTGATTCTGCTTTTCCTTCTGCTTCCCAATTCCCAGCAGAGCCTCTTGGATACCAAAAGCTGCCCAAGAATGGCAGGAGACGCTGTGCCAGCAGCTGATGAGTTAATTACTGGAGTGAGATTAAGAAGAAAAGGGGCTGAGGCCGTGGTGTCCCGGGTGGTGACAGATGGACTTCACCCAGCTAAAATGATTGCCATCAGTGCTATGCCCACGGTGGCACAGCTGTGTGTGCTCACACCGGGAGACACGTCACGGAACAGATCCAGATGGAAACAGCTAGTCCAGATCATTTTTCACATCATTAGACATGTTTGTTGGCAGCCAGACAGAGGGTGACAGGGAGGCAGAAGGGACAAAGGAGGGTCAGCAGGGAGGAGTGAAAATGATGCTTAAATGGCATCAGACAAGGGCACACAGGCCAGCAAAGCCCAAATGTTATCTTTAAGTCACTTGGCATTCTCCAGATATCACTGGAAAAGGGGATCTGGATTTCACAGGCACACAGGACTATTCTTTACTATTGCCCAGACTCCATATCCTACATTATTATCATTTCATTTCACCTTTTGGCCTGGAAGCACATAGAATGTTTTTTTATTTTATAAAAAAATAAAATTTAAAAAAAAGATAAATAATATATATATTTTCATGTACAAAAGGAGCAATGAAGGTAGAAAACACACATGATCAGACTGAAATTTGCATCTTCTGTGGGTTTCTTTAATAAATATATCAACTTTTTTGGTAGAGACAATCCTTCCTTGACTGCAGTTCACATCACAGTATTATGTACAGCAGATGTTTGACTGATGTTTGAGCAAGCTATAAAATATGAGATGGCAATGAGATTGTCACTTATTCTTTGTTGAAAAACTTCCCTACATCACAGAGAAGAGAGAAAGAGAAGGAGGAATCCACACTTCCCTTGACATTGTGTGCTGTATTAGAGCTGTGGGCTTCCTCGTGCCTTGTAAGGTGAATTTTTAAGGATTCCAGTTATTGAACAGTCTATAAAATCCTTTCTTTAGCTTTAAATAAATGATAAATCCAAGCCCCACTCTCAGCAGAACAAAATGTGAGAGAACACATATTGTGCAGATACATATTGTACAGTGCTGCCAACAGCTGTTGCCATAATTAAAGAGAGTAGTATTTGAAACAGTAATAAAAATTAGAAAACAGAATTGAAAATATGACTTTTCACTGGTTTCATTCTGGCAGGCAGCCTCATGTGACACACCTGAAGAGTAAGAGGCTGCTGCTTATCTTTCAGCAGTGAATTCCTGGCATTCTGAGCTTCAGCAGCAATCATTCTCTTCATCTTCAGACTTTCACTATCTTTTATATTTATTTGTGTTAGAAGTAGATTAAATTACTATCACACCAATGTGCCTTTATTTTCTGATAAGACAGCATTGTCTCCATGCTAGATAATATGTGTTGTTGATGCATCCTAGTAGGCATTTACTCTTTTATGTGAGATTTTAGGAAAAATAATATGTTTTTAGTTATTGGATTTATATTTTGATTAAGTTTGTCAGAATAAAACAACAGCACTTACATAAACAAATGAAAGATCCAGCAAGTCCTCAGGCATTTAGTTTAGACTGACTGTGGATATTCTGCTGGCATGAGATTATATGAAATTTTTTTGCTGCTCTAATAATAATCACCATATAAAATCTAAGATAACTGTGCCTAGAAAACAAAATTACAGAGTGAATTTTTTATGCAGCCTATAATCTGAAATTAACTGGCACTCTCTTATTGTTTATGGACTACATTGTCCCATTGGTCTCAATGGCAGATTACAAATATAAAGTAACATAAAGTCTTTGTACCAAGGAATTTGCAGTCTACTAGATGAGTTAGCTTAGAAATGATGAAATAACACAACCAGCAAGTAGGGTTTTCTTTTTCTTATTCTTGTTTTTTAGTAATAAAACATCACCATATCACTGATAGGAATTTTACAAATTTTCATTACTACTAGGCAAACACCTCAGTAGAGCATCTGGGAAATGGCTACCATTACAAAAAGATTTCTGGTAATTAAAGGCAATGATTAGCTCCACAAGTTGAATATGTTGGATTATGAATATGAATGTTGGATATGAATATGGCTGAAATACTCATTCTAGATGCCTTTGCTTTCATATGTAATGTTTTCAGTTACCAAGGCATGATAGATTCTTCATTGAAAACCTACCCAAATTTTCCTACCTGGGAGTTCTAAGTGAATTAGACACACTTTGTACCTTGTTTCTATCAGCCAATATGTATTATTCAACTAGAACCAAGGATAATTCTCCAGTGCTTGAGAGTTAAGGAAACTTCACAGGTCAGTTTTTCTATCTCAGTGCTTTACAATACAACCCCATTGCCATATAAATCACCAATAAATAATAACCTCCTTAACACTATCTTCACTTTCCATTAACCAAAATGTTCTTAACATTAAATTGCAAAATTAAATAAAGCAATATTGCTCTATCCAGCATTACTGGTGCTGTTCATCATTTCACTGTTCAATAAAATGGAATGTAACAACAGGATTCAACCTGTAGGTTCACTCTTAGAGAATTGCAATCAAGTTCCACGTTGCACTACTTCAGCTGGAAAAAGGAAAGTCTACAGATGAAATTTGTATTTAAAAATATTTCTAGATACAACCACAATTTTATTTGGCTAACTATTTTGGAAATGCAGTTTCTCTTTAGAAGTGTAAATCAGTAGTAGCTGCCTTTTTACACAATTGCTGCTGACATTTCTGTTACTTTCAGCAACTCTGCATCTATTTCACATATGCCAATTATATATAATGTGGGCATATTTGCAATGAATTATAACAAAAATGTCATGTAACAGCTTAGCAAGAATAAGGCAAATAACACAACTCCAACAACAAAAATACCAAAAATATCAAAACTTTCAAGCAGGCCCACAAAAAAAACCTCTAATGGTTAAAGAGCATGTGGTCAGAGCTCCCTCAAAGGCCAGCAAACTCAACTTTCAATGACAGAAAGGATGCACTCTTTAGTTAGGATGCACTCTTTAGTTATGAAGTAAAGTGAGAAACTTTAGCCATTGTCACTGCTTGTCCTGAAAAATAAAAAAGATGTGTTTTGGTGGCAATTTTCTTATTAGATTGAATCTACTTATTAGATTGAATCTAGATATAAGCTTTTCTGAGTGATGGCTTACGATGAGAATACACCTAATGGCAGCAGCCCTTCATTTGATAATAATTTTTTTTTTTGATTTTTCAAATATATAGCTCAAAATAAATTCTTAAAAGACAGAGTATCCCATAAAATTAATTCCTTACATATACAAAAAAAAAATTAAAAATCCACATATTTCACTCAGCCAAGGGTGCACCTGTACTTGTTAAGAGTCACAGCAGTAGTGGATGTTGCAGCCCAGGCATTCCCTGATCTCAAATCTCTCTGGCATCATTTATCCAGCCATTCTGTGCCAGGGTAGCTGAGAGTAGCTCACCTGTGCAAACACCACTTCCAATCTTGGTAGAGCACTATCAGTGCAAGCTGCAGTAAATATTCTTCATATGGCAGAAGATAATCAGAGCCTGTTTCACCCCATTTGTCACAGCAGAGCTGCAAACAGCAGTTGTTGCTATCTGCTGGTGCAGCTTCAGGTGGCCACAGATGACTCAAGAATCCCTGCAGGTTTTGAAAGCTGTGGTGAAGGCTCCTGTGTTTGCTCGAGATCAGCAAAATTCTATTAAACATAATCCCTTTGCATAGGTTTTAAATTCCCACAATTCCTCTGTCTTCAAAAATATGAACAGTGCTGCCTCTCTAAAGGCACACAACCAATG